CTAGGCATGAACCACCTGGGAGACAGGGTCGGTAAACTACAGACAACCCTACTTTCAGGTCTGCTTGAACACGATTTCTGTCTTGCCCAAAACAACATGAATGTTACCGACAACTACAGCTAAGGAAAATAAGGCTATCTGCGTATAAAGTTAGAAAACAGTAGAACTTAAGGACATAAGAATTTGCAGAGATTCCTTTCTTGGTCCCATTTTGACCACTCTCCTTAACAAATCTCTTCTTTAGAGGAATAGTTTAAATTCACAGAATACTCTGTTTATGAATTCTAGAAAGTACTGCTTAAAGACTATTTACCCACATTTTTTATAGTAAGTCATCATACTCAAGTCTAAATGACAATTTAATACGGTCCACCTATTTTCTTAATGGAGGAGTGTATTTAATATTAAAAATATCTCCTATGGGTTATTATATTCCGTTCTATTCTACAAAGATTTACTAGCGTCGTCGTAGTACTCCTTGGAAGGGAACACCCTAGCCACACCAACTTCCCACTTAAGTTCAGGACTTTCCTTTGCAATTCTTTCTCACAAGGAAAACCAGCTCTGTCTACTTTTTAGACAGCCCTGTTGTAAAATTCTGTCGTGTTTTGAACCAAAAATTTGCCTCCTTGTAACTCTAATTTTCACCATTTTTTTCTCCTTCCCATTGAGGGTGCCTAACTGGGAGGCTAATGCAAAGTGCAAGATTGAAAAGATCTAGATAATTCACCCATCAGTAGTCACCAGGACCGGTGTGGGTCACAACGACCACTGGTTTTCCTCCGTTTTCTAACATATTCCCAGATACAGTTGTTCGGATATTGAAAAGAGGGATGTAAGTGAAAGAAGAGATGTGTTTGCTTTGTAGACCAGTGAAGAAGTGATGTCTTTGATGAGTTCTCTGAGAGTTCCCAGCCAGTGGCAGAGAAATGTCACTTACAAGTCAAATCCTAATCAGATATTGCCTGATTCTGTGGACTGGAGAGAGAAGGGCTGTGTTACGGAAGTAAAATACCAGGTGAGCATTATCGGCCGGCCTCTTCACCCAAGGTAGGACTCTCTCTCTTCCTTAAATGCGTTGCATAGCTGCACAATTTGGCAGTGAATCTCAGAGTCCTTTATGGTATTTTCTAATTGCTTTGTTATTCTTGTCTTCCCAACTAAATTATAAGTGGTCAGAGCCACGTTAGACAAAAACTGTGAAGTAAGCTAATAGGTCTTCAAGACGAACTTTTAGTGCCCAGGCCGTCCATTGACTGCACAAAACCCTCCGCCAAGCCAGTTGTTTGAGAAGCAGCGTTGTGTGTGCGCGTGCGTGTGTGTGTGTGTGTGCGTGTACGCCCTGTATCTCACTTATGTCTCCCCCTCGATCTCACTTGTGTGTCTCCCCCTCGATCTCACTTGTGTGTCTCCCCCTCGATCTCACTT